TAAGTTATTTATACATACAAGGATACGTACCCTGTGACAGGACAAGAGCGTTGCGGGTCTGCCCAGGGGGCTATGCCGCCTTATGGGTGGAGCAAGTGGTGGCAAACCTCTCCCTGTGTTGTGGCCCTGACACATGGTACATGTATTTGTGAACGGAAAGTTGTTCTGAAGAAGTTGTTGCTGTTTCTGACGAGAGAGAGGCGCAGTATCAACTTCAACCCGACACACTTCTCTGTCTAATAAACGCTGCCGATAGAAAGACTCTGCGACGCTCAAGTAGCCTGGGGGCAGGTCGGAGGGTCAAGTGCAAACCGGCAGAACTTTGATCGTATTTGCAATCATCGCTTATCTGGATCCATCTCAAGATATGAGTAGCTCACTTGTGGCACTTGGCGAAAAAACAGAAGTGACACTTTTCTGCAGTGTTCGGTTCCTTTATTGACCACACGACGTGCAATCGATGACATCATCTCCGCTATGTTCCAATGTTTCAAGCGCTGTATTGGTATAGGGCACGGTAAAAACAAGGTTTGATTTTTAGAGGAAGTGGGAGGAAAACTCTTTGGATTTTAAGAACATCCCCTTTTAAAATGTGGGAACTACCCTCACTTTTTGAGGAGACTTACTCAAAACCTGAGGAGGTTTCCCCAAATTATGAAAGAAGGGTTTGGGTTTTGTCAGGAAAACAAAACTAAGAATTTGTCGGGACTGCGTCTGAGATTGAGAAAAGGAGTGGTCATGAAAGTTGCCAACTCTATTGGCAGTGGTCCTTCAGGGAGAAGGCGTTGCTCGTGTCAAAGTGACCGGTTCAACCAAAGTGGAAACTCTAAAGGTTGCCGTACACACCGCACGGCGTACACTCACTCACATATCAAGCTGCAGACCGCGCGGAGAGGCGTCGCTGGGGGAGTGCAGTGCTGCCTGCTCAGCACAGTACCCCGAGCCCGCCACGTGCAACACCAGACAGGAATGCCACCCGAAGTACTGACTAATCGAGCTTGAGCTGCTTCAGCGCTTCGAGGAGAAATTTTGTTTTGACGAAGAGTGAAACGAAAAAGCTCGATGAATCTAGTATCGCGAGTTAATTACCTAACTCAATGGTTGTGATTATTTTAAGTCTTCAAATTGAAAAAAATACGATTTCACCAAATCGTGGAAGACAACGGAGGTAGTATTTAGTAAATTTTGGCAGACAACAAAGGTGCTTTCTATTTCTAGACAAGTTAATGAAATTTGAATAAAAAATACTACAGAAAATTAGAAACTTTTTGAGATATGTTTGCTATAATTTTGACTGATGAAATTTGAGAAATTTGAGTTTTCATCCACAAGTTTCCATGGAAATGACGAGCTGAGCAGTAGGCCGAGTCGAGCCAGGGAAATTTCAGCCAATCACGAATTTCCGCGGGAAAGTTTGACCAATAGAAACGATCGCCTGTTGCTTTGTACAACCCTATCCAAAAATTATATGAGCCTGGTGTTGATACTCCTTGCTTTCAGTGGTCGCGTTTGAATAATAACAAGTCGCTGCCGTGTAAAAAGGTTCAGCATAAACGCTGTTTCGAACGCGACCGGTCAGCATCAGTCGACGATAGGCATTGTTAGCGAAGACTGTACTTGTGACTTCCAAATCGCATTTAAAAGAAGGCGCGGCGGCTAACAATGCTGCCAACCTATCGCCCTTTGCTGCTGGGGCGCGGCTCCGAGGAATATTTTTAAAAAAAACTATGATTCATAACCAAAACTGTAGATCCGCCTTCGCTAATAATATTATTTCATAGTATGCAAAAAGTATGCGAAGCCAATTAGTACAACCAACCTACAAAAAAAAACTATGATTCATAACCAAAACTGTAGATCCTCCTTCGCTAATAATATTATTTCATAGTATGCAAAAAGTATGCGAAGCCAATTAGTACAACCAACCTATAACTAAAAATAAATATCATATCATTTATTAGTTATGACAACATCTAATTGAATAGAATATTTTGACTATTGCCGACGTAAAAATTGAAATCTATAGGGCCGTTAACGCGTTAAGGTTAGAATTTGTGCTACATATTCCTGTCATTGCACAGAAAGGATCTGGTTTTTGGGCCAATATTTGAATACTATACCTGTGTCTGGTTTACTTGTGCAACCAGGAACAACACAATTAGTATACCCCATATTGTAGTTAATGGGCTGTATTTATGTGGTTCAAATCAGGAATTATTAAATAAGACCAATAAATTTGACTCTAAGCTCAATGAAAATGGCGTCGATGGTCTTCCCTTTCGCGTGTGTTTGAAATGAAAGCCTTTATAACAAGGCGGTAAGGTGGTGGCGTTCGAATATGAGTATTGCCATCTGTGTCTGTTTCCTTATTATAGTAAAGGAAGTGTGCTCCTTCGGAAAACCCGGCTAAAATGTTTTTGATGATTTGCTTGTTTTATTTAGAATTAGTGGTGAAAATGGGAATATTATGAGAAGGCGGTAAGGTGGTGGCGTTCGAAACAAAGTAGTGTTATCCTAGTTCTGTGCATTGTAGCAAAGGAAGGGATTGTTTGAACGCAGACTTTAGAGGTGTCTTCTTTCCTCTGGATTGGCTCGGCTCGGCCTACTTGTTGCATGCAAAACTATCTCCATCTCTCTCGTGACGAGCCGAGTATCACCATAGAAACAGCGATTTCAATTCAAATTTGCAAAAAACTGAAAATTAAGTTTTTGATTAAACTTTGAGGATCAATTTAAAATTGAACTTTCTATTTTTTTAAAAAAAATTAAGAAAATCGTTAGACCGGTTTCTAATATCCCATAAAGGGCCATGTAAAACAATTGACTATCGGGGCAAAACGATCGTAGAAGACAACTCCGCTGTCTAAAAACAAATGCAATGTCTTTTCAAAGGCGTTTAAAAATATCACCCCTAGATAGGCATTTAAAAGTACGCGAAGGCAGTACATTTTAACACCCCTTTATAGGCATTAAGTCCTACCTCCTACCTTTGTTTGTTTCTGTGTACTTTGCAATCTGCTCGACTCAAAGTCGAACCCTTTGTTTTTTCCAGCGCACTGCTGTCTGTATTGAAAAAAAAAAGTTACGTCTCTGATGGATGACTCATACCCTGCAACTTCTGTTTTGGCTGCAATACAACTTATTGATTTCATTTATTTATTTTGACGCCGGCAAAAACATTATGAGGCAGACGGTGGGGGGAAAGGGGGGGGGGGCGACTTCGTCTCCTCTTTACTCTCCGTCTGGCCTGGGACGTACTACGCACGGAGTACCGCCCGAGTTCAGGGCGGTCGCGGCCTCGGGTGCACTCGTTTCCAAACTTATCAGCACCTAGGTTCTTCACCTTCACCGAATAACGCCCAGATATCCAAATACTATACAACCCCCTCCCACTGACTATCTCCCCCTCCCT